GGCGGAGTTGACAGAGACAGCCGCCATCTTGGGTCCGCTTCAGATTTTCAAATATTAATATCTAGAGTTCTGATTAACCAATATCCAAACAACTTACATAGTAAGCATCAATCAAAAGGTCTCTATTATCATTCCAAAATAAATAAAAAAATGTTGAAAAACAAAAAAGTTAGAAAATACGCTTTTTTCTATTCGCATCTCCTGACGACAGGAAGTATTGACGACGAACTAAACGTTGCGTCCTGGATAGTATCTATCATGATCTATAATCCCTGAAAGTTTCACATTCATATCTTTTACCGATTTTGAATTTATTCGCGGACAAAATGTCATTTTAAAATCAGGAAATGTCCCTTAACTTGGCACCAGATAAGACTTTTCAAAAAATCGCTCAGATAAATCAAGTTCATGTTACGACTCATCTTTTGTTAAAATTTCATGTAATTCCATCCAGTAGTCTTCGAGAAATCGCGTGCACAAAATTTTGGAAAAAAAAAATAATAATAAGAAACAGTAGAATCACTATAAGGTCTTCCGTGAAGACGGAAGACCTTAATTATAAAAATAGTGGAAAAGAAACCTAAGAATAACAAGAAGGTCTTCCGCTGAAGACGGAAGACCTTAATAAAAATAGTGGAAAAGAAACCTAAGAATAACAAGAAGGTCTTCCGCTGAAGACGGAAGACCTTAATAACAGTAAGGTCTTCCGCTGAAGACGGAAGACCTTAAAAATAGTGGAAAAGAAACCTAAGAATAACAAGAAGGTCTTCCGCTGAAGACGGAAGACCTTTATTATGCAATAACCCTGTGAATCACTGCGCAATACATATTTACTGCTTTGTGAACACACCAGAAGACTGACCTAAATTCAGCCCACTAAAATCGCATTAAATCCTAATACTAGTTTAATTTTATGCACATGTACATGTATTAGAGTGTACTTTTTCGTACACCCTTTAAAGGGTATATTTATTAGAAGCTCGGTAGGGTTTCTAAATAGGAATGAAATAGATGGATAAATTGTCCCTTATAGTCTTCGTAATTATAGCTTTGATAATTTTTCATCCGTTGAGTCGTTTTTGTGTCCGGGATAATCAGACAAAGTCTTATTTTTAAAAACTAGAATGGTAATAAACTTAGCAAATTTTATGGCATTCCAACAACCGTTTTATTAACTGATTAAGATGTAGTGATCTTTTGTTTTTCTTTTTTCCTAAAATACATATATTCGTTTTACTAATATAGTTATTTGTTAACTATGTAAATTTTATTTTCAAACATCGGAATAAGTCTACTTTCATTATTTTCACTCTGCAAAAATCTCCGCTAGGGTCCCTGTGTGTTTACACAGACAAGCAGCAATAGCCTGTGGCTATATATAGCCACCGTCTAAAAAGGATGGGTTTTCAAATATACACCGCAAAACACGATAGAACTTGACAAATGATCTACATGATAAACGCAAAACACGATAAACGGAAAACACGTTAGAAAAAGCAAAACACGATACGATAGGATACACACACGATAAAATTGTTACTTACTTACTTATCCTCTCAGTGCCCCGGAGGACACATGAGGCTGTTCAACAACGAACGCCACTTACGGCGGTCATGTTAAAATTGTAAGGAATATCAATTCCGGTACTGTATATCTAACCACCAACATGTGTCCTGCGACATAATTCTGGCCTTACGAATGCGTCAAAATTTAATTTGAATTAGCTTCAGTTAGCGTTTACACTGAGCTAATGCGAAGAAATTTATGCACAGAACATTTTTTCGAGTTAAACTAATTAGCATTAAAGTCACCGTGTGAACGCTAAGCGAAGCTAATTAGCATTAATTTAACGACTAATTCAAATTACACTCTCCGTGTGAACAAGGCATAAATTTTCAACTCAACAAAGTGAATGATAATTTAAATTGAAACTGCGCAAACGATTATTTATACAGTACATATGGAACGCCAACACTGCCTTATAGCATACAACTATGCATTTATTATGTCAATTTATCATTAAGTGATGTGAACATATCTTTACGTTATATCCATTTTTTATGGGATGATGAAAATATATCTTAGCATCAGGTCAATGCTGCATTACATGAAGTAAATACATCGTTTCATTATGTCAGCACTTCATAACTTGAAGTCGAAAATTCATTATGTGAAGTGATAATATGTTTACATTGTGTTAAAACTTTATTACGTGAAATGAATGTTTCTTTATATCATTTCATTTCTTTAATATGCGATGTCAAAATTGCATTACGTCAAGTGAATTGTGTTTTATAATTAAACTTATCATTACATGAAGTCAAAAATCAATTCCTTTTTGAGAGTGTATATTTCTATTATATCAAAGCATTATTATATGATATGGGTTTTTCTTTATTTTACGGCGAGAGCATCATTATGTGAGGTGAACACATCTTACCTTTGTGTCAGTGCTTTATTACGTGGTGTAAAAAGTGCATGACATTATGTGAACATATCTTTATATTATATCAACACTTTATCACATTATGTCAAAACTCAATTCCGTGATGTGGATAAATAATTACTTAATGTCAACTCTTTCTTTTGTGATCTTAAAATATCTTTATATTGTGTTAACTCTTTATCATGTTGATTCCAAAAGTGCACTACCTGATGTAACAATACATTTACATTATCTCAAAGCTGTATATCTGGTATAAAATGAATGTTGACGACCTTGTTTTTATGACTGGTATTAGGGGGGGGGTCCTGATTGAGTAGGAAGAATTACAGACACAAAATATCACCCCTCCCCCTCTTTTCCCAGACATAACTTTACAATTGAAAATCTAATGTTCATTGAAAGTACAGCCCCCACCCCCACTTTTTGTTGAATTATAGTCCACTAAAAAAATTAGGACTGATCGAAGTTGGACCCCCCCCTTCCCCTCCCCGAAATAGGATTTTCAGGCTTGGAGTGAAGAATTAATTTTTTTTGGCTTCTCAAGTTTTTTTTTTTCGGGCGAATATTTTTTTCTGGCTGACCCCCCCCCCCCCTCTTTCGAAAAAAGATGATACGTCACTGGATTAGTAATTTTTTCAACCAATCCAGGGCCAGAATTCTATTATAATAATCATTAAATCACTCATCTAAATCAATTGAATATGTCTTAGTAAGCATGCATGGGCACATATCAGTAGCGGATTTGAGAATCTTGAACCCAAAAAATTGCCCAAGCCTGAAGGGGGACGGTTTATGGTTGGAGACCAAGGGGGAAAGCGGAGAAGCTCTCAGGCTTTAAAGTTTTATAAAATAGTTTTCTACTAAATTCAGCTAAACTCAATGTGAAACTAATGTAATGTCCTACAAAGTAAAAACAATAAATTTATTAATTTTATGTATATGTAGAGATGGTAGGGCGGGATTTCCCCCTCCCCCAACGCACGAGTGCACGTGTGTTATAACGATGTGTTTACACTTAAAAAAAAAAGAAAGTTCAAGACTAATAAAAAAAACGTATGACAATGTTCTAAGAAAGATCAAAAGCTAGTTTAAGACCTTTATCCAAAAAACAAACAAAACAAACAAACAATTCAAAATACGAGTAAAAAGAAAAAAAATTGCTGCACGACTCATAATATTTGAATTTTTTAATTATCAGATTAAAGTAAACGCCATTGAATTTCGACGTGACTTTAATTCACAGTCGCAGTGTTAAGGCTTTGCACGTTTCAGATTGTCAATCCTTTGTCGCTTAAAATTTTTATTTAAAGATGCCATTCCCAAATTGCTGAGATTTCTTCTACAACAATTTTCTCTCCCGCCAATTTAGTGCTTGCGGAACGCGGAAAATACGTTATGCTCATATAAAAGCCGAGGATACCCGTGTTCGCATAACGCAATAGTGAATCGACATAATGTAGTAGTGTAAGTTAATATCATAAAGAATTGACATAATGTAATGATTGGTTAACACAATGTTATTGTTGTTTAATAAAATGTCATGAACAGTAAACATAACGAAATGCAAGAATGTGTAAATGTCATAAAGTGTTGACATAATGTAAAGGAAGGTTTACACGATGCATTAGTAGTGTGGGATAATATCATAAAGAATTGACACAATATAATGGAAGGTTGACACAATGCAGTAGTAGTGTGGGTTAATGTCATAAAGAGTTGACATAATATAATGGAAAGTTGACACAATGGAATAATAGTGTGAGCAATGTTGTAAAAAGTTGACATAATGGGACCGAAGGTTGACACAGTGTAAAAGTAGTGTGAGTAAATGTCATATAGAGTTGAATTTATGTATTTAGGAAAGTTCACACAATGCAATAGTAGTGTGAGTAAATGTCATAAAGAGTTGATATAATGTAATAGAAGGTTGACACAATGTAGTAGTAGTGTGGGTTAATGTCATAAAGAGTTGACATAATATAATGGAAGGTTGACACAACGCAATAGTAGTGTGAGTAAATGTCATAAAGAGTTGACATAATGTAATGGAAGGTTGGCACAATAAAATAATAGCAGAAGTAAATGTCATAAAGTGTTGACATAATGGAACCGAAAGTTGACATAATGTTATAGTAGTGTGAGTAACTGTCTTATGGAGTTGACATTATGTAAAAAAGAAAGTTCACAAAATGCAATAGTAGTGAGAGGAAATGTCATAAAAAGTTGACATAATGTAATGGAAGATTGACGCAGTGCAATTGTTGTGTTCTGCTATAAGGCTGTGGCGGCGTTCCATAGTACATGTATATTTTGTGTGTGTGTGTGTGTGTGTGTGTGTGTGTGTGAACGAATTTATAAATCATTATGGTAGAAACCATGTAAATATTATATAAACGAATTTCTAAGCTGTACAAATATTTTCTAAATTGTACATATAATTTTCAAAACATTACAAAGTAATTGGAAAACAAAATCCTACAAACGAGTTTATCAACTGTGAAAAAAGAATTTTGGCACTCATGCGCTGTCATAGAAATATAGATGTAGGTCATTTCAGGTAATCAATGCTTCTTTATCTCGCTCTTGCATTGAGATAATCTGAAAAAATTCAGAGGATTAGAATGGCAGGCAAAAAAAGTACGTTGGTTGTCAAAATGTAGAATAACTGGAAAATAATGTAAGTAAAGGAACTCTGCCAAATGTCGAGATTATAATCTACTTTCGTTTTGAACAAATATTGAGCTGTTGATGCCAATGGATTGAAACACACAGACCATTCTTTGTCTTATTTATTACTAACGTACGTCGTCATATACATGTATCACTGCAGTATCTGTAAATAGAATACTTTAAATTAAACGTAATACACAATGTTAAATCCCCTTAAATTACTATTGCTTGTTAATTAAGTCTGTAAAAATATGCCTTTTTTCTTCCTCTTGATATCTTATTTAGATTTTAACTTGCCATCGACGTTTACGCAGTAAGCTATTAACAAGATTATCAATTTAATAAAGGAAAAGCCCTGTTTGCAATACCTATCGGGATCTCCGGAATCAACAAGAACATAATTTTTAATTAGAAAATTTGAATAAAAACTATTTATTTTTCATAAAAAAAACATTGACCTCCCTTTGAAATATTTTGCCTCAAAACTTATCTTTTTTAATATCATAGGTCATTAAATTTAAGGTAGGATTCTTCTATGATTTCGGACTAGATGAATTATTCCAAGTATATTTGCTTATGTGTCTTATGTATTAAGATGTAAGATATTTAAAAAAAATCATATTTTTCTTTCCTCATCACAATTGTACAATTAAATAAAAATGGTAATCCGCGTTTGAAAACTAGCAGGGACTATATTTTTGGCGGAATTGTGGCGAATGAAAATATCTAGTCTTTTCGGCCTCTCAGTTATAATTTTATACAATCAAAGACTTGAAGAAACTTTCAAATGTAAGCTTAATTAATGACTAAAGTTTCTAAATATATCAAATAAATGTGATTTATAAAATTAACTAGACCTATGCTAGCAAGGACATTATTCGTTGCCACTGGCAAGTTGACAATTATGTACTTGGAATGTGGTTGTGAGAGAACAGATAAAGAGGCCATGATACAAACACACTTCAGTAAAGAAAAAAATTCTTTTCCATCGTTAAAATTTACTGCACACTTATTTATAGCGTTAAAAATTTTAGAAGTCATGGCCATTTAAAAGAAGTATTTCATATTTTGAAAGAAAGAAAAATCGTGAATTTTTTTCAGTGACGATTTTTCAAAGAGAATTTTTTCTACATAAAATTTAAACTAAACAAACAGTTTGAAGAAATGGGATCCAAGCAAATTTAGTAAAAAAAAAAATACAAAAAACCCTTTTCTTGATTGCATGTGCTAATTCAAAACACTTTGGATCATTCGAATGCCTAATTTGATTGTGTTGTATCGTTTAATTTCAGAAAAATGACCAAGAAGAATTTCTCAGACTTTGGTAACATTGTGGATTCCTGTCCCGGTAACAAGACAGAGTTCACAGACTCGGCTACCAGACTGGGGTGTGGTGTGGATGTGTATGGGCGGAGTCAATACGTCTGTGTTCCCAATCACCAGAGGTCAAGTCTGGTGGAATTCTGTTATAAGTCAACAACTGGACTGTTTGAAAGAGGTACGTATTAATCTTGCGTATTACATCATGAATAACTCTAACATGTACTTCAGTCATTGTGATTTTTCTGCATGCAGGTAATTGTATAGAGGTTTACGAAAGTGGAAATTTGGATCAAACCAGCTGTCTTCATTTCACAGATGGATGTCCTGAGAACCATTTCTTTCCCTCTGACCTGTACAAATGTGAGTTTGAACCTAATCATGATCAATATAAATCAAGTGAACATCGAAAACTACAATAAGAAGGCAGTTTCTGTGAAATACAGACAATAATATCCTTTAAAATATATAAGAGAACAGTAGAATAAATTGAAAGGGAGGGATATTGTCGCTTTAAATGATTTTTTTTTTACAGTTTTAATATTTGTAAAATGACTTTGCGAATTCAAACAATAAAACCAATATTCGTGTCTGTGCTGCAATGTAGAGTTGTCAATAATTTAACATGAATATTTAGTAATTGCGATTGTATATGCTATATTATGTGTTTCTGTATATCTGGTAGAATCTAGACTAAGAATACTAGTACTTCTTCCTTTTGCTACAGTCCCGGCTTGTCAACGAGTCAATCTTCAAGAGCAATGCTTTTTTGCGGATCCTGCATGTCCTAATATCACGTAAGGAGATGGAGATCGGGAGATCATGTTAATGGCAGTTATAAAAGGGGGGCCATTATGTTAAGTTGAAAAACAATCACTACTTTAAATTTTGCATACAGAAAATTAATGGGAACATTTTTTTTGTTTTGGTTGAAAGCTGTGTAAAATTCTCGCATCATTCTCTTTAGCCAAAAAAACCCTAAAAATATAGCTTTACGTCCCAGCAGGCACGCAACGTTGTTTCAACGTTGAAAGGAGGTGGAATATAGGTTGCAACGTTGATCAACTATATCTCAACGTTGTTTCAACGTTGAGGTTTCAACGTTGAATCCTCAACCTTTTTTCAACGTTGAAACAACGTTGAAGGTACAACATATTTTCAACGTTGAATGTTCGTCGATATATCAACGTTGAAACAACGTTGAGGCTGCAACATATTTTCAACGTTGAATGTTCGTCGATATTTCAACGTTGAAACAACGTTGAAGCTGCAACATATTCTCAACGTTTGATGTTCGTTAATATTTTAACGTAGAAACAACGTTGAAGCTGCAACATAGTTTCAACATTGAATGTGCTCGTCGATATTCAACGTTGAAACAACGTTGAAGATTCAACATGTTTTCAACATTGAGTATTTTCTGATTATGTAGAGATTAAACAAGGTTTAAAAATGCAAAGTTGACTGTCTCTTGATTTCAACGTTGAAACAATGTGGAAGATGCAACATATTTTCAACTTTAGGAAAGTTAGGAATTATTAACGTTGAAACAACGGGTAACAAGTATTGAGCACTTTAGTTTTTAAGTTCAAAATATAAAGGTGTCTTTAACTTCTAATCCATGCGATTTTTCGCAATATACACACAGCTGTTTGCTTTGTTAGAAAATATTATATATATAATAATAATACTTAATAAATGAAACGCATACATTATAAATTGATTCACTCAAAAGAGTTGTGCCAATAGCTAGTACCATTATAAAATTTTAAATATTAGTTTATATGAAGCATGGCATCTGCATTTAACACTTTATTATAATTATGTTTCAAAAAAGATTATTTTTTAAAAAAAAATTGTGAGTGCTATTTTTTTTTGACATATTTATAGAATATGTTAAATATAAACTTTTTATAAATAATATCTTTATTCAACATCTCACTGTAATTCCATGTTAATATAGAATTAATAAATAATTATTCCGAATTAATGTTCTTAAAATTAGACTCATATGGATCCGTGCCGTATACTCTTGTGCAGATTATACGTATACAGAGCGGATCTAAGAAGTCTTATTTTATTAGATTGTGCTTTTGTTGTGTGTATTAATTCTAGAATCTTTCTTTTCACAAAATATTAAAAAAATTCAAATAAACTCATAAGAATTTTCACACTGACAATTAACCCCGGTCAAGTTGCATTACTTAAGATCCACTCCCCAAAAACCTTCGAGATATCAGATAAGGAGAGCCTCTCGCTTAGTTGGTCAGTTTCAGTGTCAGGATAACCTTGTTATGCAATTTTCTTGCTGGGCAGAGTATAGCTGTTTGCAGCTTATCTAGGTCAAAATTTGAATTCAACTGATGGACAAAATGTGCGCGTCTCCTTGCTGTTCATATTGAATGTGTTTTCAAGCTATTATACACAAGGATTAAGGCTGGAATATCAACTTCTGATCAGTAAGTATTATTTCCTTTTCATGAATTTAAGAAATTAAGTTTTTTTTAGTATCTGTTCATCATTTAATTCTTGTTTTATAAGTACATGTATATTTGAAATCTGCGTGAAATGCACAACCTTGGTTCTTGTATTATGTGTTTTGTTGATATTCATTTGGTTATGAAATATAAGCTAGTATACTAATATATTATACAATTTAACTAATTGTAGTTCGTCGTAAGGTTAAATCAACCAGTGGTGCAGGGAATTGATTGTATATTCAGCCTTGATTGCATCAGATTCTTCGCCCGTGAAAATTATACAAAGGAATGCAACATTTTGTAAGTACACTATGTATATGTATGTCTATAACATTTTCCTTTAGTAATAATTACTTATAAGTATACTCATACGGAGCTTAACATGAAGTCAACTATAATTCTTTTAATCATGTTAATTAAATCCAAGTACCGGAATATATTCCTTTGTCTGATTTTTTAAATCATCCATGTATATTTATTTTTATCGTTTGAAATAACGTGTTACGTACATTTTATCGAACAAATGGCTTTAACATCTTTATTTCTTTTATCAATAGGCTTTTGCTTTAGAGGGTGGATTCTCCTGTTCATTTCTTTCATTCGTGGGACTTAACTATATGCGTGATTATAATCAATGGATCCGCCACTTTGTGGAACTTAGTAGTGCAAGGCAGAAGGCAGAACGTACTTTGAAGGACCTGGATGTGATTACTGTGACCCACTTTTCACAAGGAATATAAATTTTGTCAAGCAGTGATTTTTGAGATTCAGTGATTGAATCCGAATTTGTGTTTGTATAAAGAAATACATGTAAAATAAATTCTACCACAATCATAATACAGGATTACAACTTATCTAAATATTACGCAACTTGAATAAAAAAATTTATTAGTATTTGAAATGTATTTGTTTTTAAAGCAAAATGTAATATGAATTCAACGTGATTTCAACCAAATATCAACATTTGTTCAACCGAAAAATTTCAACCAAATCTCAACCTAATTTCAACCAATGTTCACTTTTGTTCAATGTTGATATTTAACGTTGAAACAACGTTGAAGCTTCAACGTTGCCTCAACTTTCATTTGCAACCAAAAATCAACCATAAATCAACCAAAAATTCAACCCATTTTCAACGTTGATTCAACGTTGAAAATTGACGTTGAAACAACGTTATATCTCAACGTTGACTCAACTTTCATATGCAACCAAAATTCAACGTTGATTCAACGTTGAAGTGCTACGTTGATTCAACGTTGAATCAACGTTGAAATGCCTGCTGGGGTTGGTCTTCAGAAGCTTGACCGTTTCTCAAATACGATGTACATGCATATGACCATGGTTGTGTTGAAATGTGTAAATAAAAGTCTCCTAAAGGAACTCCTATGTTGGTCATGGTCTCTCATATTCTGTCTTGCACACATGTTTTAAAGGTATTATTTTCTAATCCATTTTTAAAAGATTATAAAGTATTTCTATCTTTGCTGAGAAGTTTCACCTTTGTGAGGTTTGAAGATCAATCTATTTTTGTACCTTTAGTGAAATACATATAAGCTTTCTGATAAGGGATTCTATATCTTACATAAAAATATAAGAAAATATTACTGATTGGGATAAAAATACATTTTTTCCCTTTTACATGTAGAACAACATTAATGGATATCCAATTGCCGGAGTTATCTGGGGATGGTACAACACCTATTGGGACGATCGTAGGAAGCCTTGCTGCTCTTCTCTTTATTCTTCTCGTGTTGATAACAGTTATCCTGTGGATGAGAAATAGATTTTTAAGTATATATATTTTCTTTTCAAAGTTTTCAGCTTTATACGAAGGATGTTAGAAAAGTTCGCGGACAGGTTCTATTGTGAGCGTTCTATTTCCACAAAACCGGTTAAACTTAACAGATATAATCTTTTTTTCCAATAAATATACAAGAATTTGGTCCTCTCCGGTATTAATTGAAAAATATACGGCATTTTAATTTTGATAAATTTTGCTTCACGGAGCATGCTATATTTTGGCACGTTTACATCACAAAGACTCTTTATTAAAATTTAAAATTGCCCAATTGTGATGCCAAGAGATTTATGATATCATTTTACCTGTCGCTAAAATATGCAGAAAACGTTACTAGGAGAAATTTTGAAATAAATTGGAGAGTTTATGACTGTCCTATATCCGTTTATAAATGATCAACGCGTAAAAACGGTTTGTTCCCGTTTTGCACACATTTGAATTACAGGTAATTAAAAAATGCGTGAAAAACGGGAAGTTGACCAGGTGAGATAATTACTAAATTGCTATAGTCTACACCATACTTAGTAAATAGTTGGAAGGTGAACTTATAGTGAAAAAATAAGAGAATAAATACAAAGTTATTGTGTCTTGGCTTGGGCAATATTTTCACATTAATATTTTTTCTCTATTTCCTTTATTATTTGTTATACCTTTAATTCATTTAGAATTTTATCAAGATGGAAAAATATTCTTTTTTAAAGAAATTTTTTCCTTAATTTATAAATAATATTAAATATTTAAATTTTATTCAATAGGATCAAATATTTTCCCGTAAATAAAAAAAATTTGTATAAAACCTCTTAAGTATACATTAAGCTAAATCAGGTACATCCTGTATTCAAAGGTAAATTTAAACCAAAAAATCAGACTATAATTGCTATCAAAACACACTTCGCAGCCAAAAATCGGAACGTCATTGAGCGTCATGGAACACTGCACTACATAAGAATTATGCATGCAGACAGGAAAATATCTAAAAATAGATTAAAATGTTCAAGATGCTACTGGGAATATACTAAACATACAAAGAACAGGTTTTCAAATGGTTGTATCTGCATAAGAATAGAAAGAGTAATATTTTGAATGATTCACTCTATCAATATACTTCAATACCCCTCTATTGCATAGACGTTGCATTGCGCCTATATGGTTTTGCATATTTTCCAAACCTGATTGAACGACTGCATAGACTTTTAAAAAAAATTTAGTAGAAAATTGTAGTAAAAAAGTAATATGTCTTGATATAGATATTAAGTTTTAAAGTAGAAAAAAGATAAGAAAAATCTTAAGAAATGAAAGATTTATTGAACTGCAACAAAGCTTAAAGGGTTGAATTCTGGTTGTCACGTCGTTAAGGGGATGAAGGATGTATGGTCACGTGACTCAGTTGATTTACGTCATAATCTCTGATAAAATATGTACAAAATGAGATTGAAACCACAGCACTTGTATAATTTTTTGACTGTTTGTTTGCGTTCACCATCAAGTATAAAAATATCAGAAAACATTCAAAATTTCTTGCAAATATTACGCAGTATCAAATTACGGAATAGATTAATCCACCCTGCCGTTTCCCTACTTTGTGCGTCCGGTGCGTCTCTGACGTCATAGTGGATCTCTTAGTTCAGTGAGATCTTACACGATAAAAACGGGTAGTATAAAATCATAAAAACGGTCCATAATATGTACTTAGTAGGGTATTTTGTAAATTTCAGAACGCAAATAATATTTTTACATGGTTGTTGACGGAAAAGTTCTGTGGGTTTGTCTTATTTCGTTTATTTAAGGAATGTGTGACGTCATAGTTGAGTTTTCCCGACTCAAGAAATGTAAACATGCCAGATTTTTCTCATGATCATGACTCGTTTAATTTTGTCCCGTGCAATATTGAGCTCAGCTTCACCAATCGATATTTTTACAGTTAATCAATACAATGACGACCTTGAACTTCGACGTAAATTTTCAAATATTGAATGATAGGATTTTTTGCAAATTAATTTTTTTATGGTTTAAGTTGTCCTAAAAAAAACTCGTAAATTTCCGTTTCCAGATGTGGTGTTACAAAAGAATCTTGCTTTTCCGAATTTTTAACCCTATTCATACTCTAAAATATTTTAAAAGACACATTTCCGCTGGTATATTTTTTATCTATGGTGAAAAATTTCAATTATCGACCAAGTAATGGACCCAGAAACACGGAGAATAAAACATCTGCTCAGACACTGTGGGGTATGGTATTTGTCACTCAATATCTCAGAAATAAGTCTAGAAACGTATTGATATATCTGCTTTATAGTATGCAGGACATACTAAATAAGGTATATACAAAATATGAAAAAAATTAAATGACAGATATTTTATCAGCTAAAGGTCCTTCATCCCTTTACTTCAAGTGCTTGTTCCGTGAATCCCATAACCCCATAGTAAAAATATTTGTAAAATTTTAAGATTTTATTATATGGACCTGATTTTTTACATACTAATAAACAAAATGTAGGAATTCATTCAGACATAGGTCATACTTCACAGTACACGATAGATTTTCTGCAATTCAATGTGTCCGCGAACATTTATAACACTACTCGTATATGTGCTTTAGATTCAAAACTTGCCATTAGTTTGTAACTTTCGACAAAGGAAGACGTTTTAAAGAATTCATAAATATTATAGAAAAAATGATTTAAAAGTATACAACCCATTCCAAAGATATTGGTCAGATTTAACATGTTTAATAATATTCCGTATATAACAAAACATATAAAACAATTAATTTTTTTTTTTACAAGAGACCAAAAGCTTCTATCATATCATGCAACATGCGGTTAAGAATTAAGGCTTTGCTGTTTGAAGATTTACAGAGCCTATATATATATATATATATCGAAGCAAAATTATTTTTTGACATTTGTATTGAAGAGAGGTGGACATATTAAACTCATCTTTTATAACATTAGAAAATAAAGTGTAGCTGAACAAAAATCAATGTTGTCAATTTACGTATTTGAGGGAAACACATGCATGAATAGTATTCAAATAATTTTCCATGGCCAATTAAAGTGTTCAGAAAGATTGAATAGCTTTACAATTAATAGGAACTTTAGATATTAAGTCTCCTAATCTTAAATATAAGGTCACATTACTCTGATTACAAAAATGAACAATGACAAAAATGAAAGCATACTAATTTGCAGTTAAGAGATCAATATGCAAGAAATTCTTAGATTAAATGTTTGAAACCAAGAAAGGGGAAGTTTTGTTATGTAATGATTTTTATGAATAACGGACACCTCCGAGGTACTTCAAAGTAAAATGATGCATATATGTTTTATGTGTTGACTTAACAAATCATCCATACAATGTTGATTAACATGGCATCATGTAATTAAAACATTTATTCCCTCGTCGTTATAGGAGCTGTTTATGAAGGACGATCTACGGCAATTTCGCTTATAGATGAAAATCGTCATTATGATATAACTACTTGTGAATCCCCTCTGCTGGCTGCAAACAAAGGTATAAAAAAAGAAACAAAACAAAAGCGATGTAATCGTGAAATTTTTTGTCTTCTGTAAATGTTACAGAATCAGAACTTCTTAGTACTGAAGAATTTTATATAAAAAGATATTCGAACAGTTGTCAAGATCAGAGTCTATAAGCAATACAAAACAGGAGCAGAGCAAACACGGCTTTCCAAAATATCAGAAGTGGAATAAGGTGCCATGAGAAGAGAGCATCCCCTGCCGACTGGTTACATGCTCCTTGTCATGATCAGGGGCTAAATGAAATGTCCTTCGTCAACTTTGTGGACTAAAATATGGCATGCGGAATACCATGCAACATTTGACTCAATAAAAAATTGTATTTGCTGACAAAGTCATTGTATCGACCACAGAATCGAACTTGCAAAGCGATGACTTTAAACGAGACTGCTTATATTTTTGTTTCATCATTTTGTTCGTGAATAATTTACTTCGTTTCAGACATTGTTTATACAAGAGCTTGCTCTTGCATATCGAATCAACTAATTGTCATAGAGCGTGGTTGTTAGAATACCATTAATGTCTTTTCTAATTAAAATATCCAAGTACGAGACAGATGTGTCAGACTGTGTGATATCTTTTATCTCAAGCTCACCAGGATATATATCGTATCGACATATAATTTCAAATTACCATTGTTAATTGACAGTGGGTCGTCGATATATCGAGTTGAATGCCACAGCAAGTGTTTTTTACGCATTAGATTTTGCACAAATTCTGTTTCATATGAATGCAAAAATAAGTCTGCTAATAACAGAGCGCAGTTGGTACCCATGGGGATACCAATGGATTGTTTGAAGACCTTGGTCTCCAAAAATAAGAGATATTGTCAATCAGAAACCCAAGCAGCTCATTTATGTCAACTTCAGAGTATTTGTCTTTACAACCAGAATGTGTTTTAAGAAAATAATTTTGCAAATGAATTGACATTGACCAGTTAAGACAATTTACGCGTTTCATTTTTATTGAACAAGCAGCTGTCAATGATATTAAAAAGCCTGGGCTTTAATTTATCGTGGGGTATTGTTGTGTTTTAAATTATAAAGTTTTTAAGTTTTTAAGCTGTTGATTTTGGTAAAATCTTGTGATTTTAACTTATCCAAAAGTTCTTTGGAATTTTTTAGAATCCCGATTTGATTCACGTCACTTCTTATAAAAATTGTTGCACAGTGCTTTTGAAGTTGTTTCTCCTTCATTTTCTTTTAATATCTTAGTGCGGAGTAAGGAAAAGTACTTGATTGAACATTAACTGGAACCAGCATTGTACTTTTTTTAAGGATTCTTTTAAAGTTTCGGAATCCAATAAATATATTGTAGTTCAAAATCATTTTGGTTTTTCGAAATATTAGGAATTTCAAAATACGAAATATTATACTCGTCATTATTTCATCATAATACTTCACACTTTTGTAGTTATTGGAAAATGAAGTTCTCATAGAAATAATATTTAATTTCAGGAATTATAGAGGTGAGAGAAACGGTCGTCAATGAAGATCCAGAGGAAAGAGAGGGTTTCGTATTAGAAACTGGTGACAACGATTATACTTCTGAGGTTGTAAATCAATGGATGAAAAAACAATGGGAAGAGATAAGTAAGAATAAACATAGTTAACTTATTTACGAGCAAATTTAAAAAATCTTTCTCTTTATTCATAAACTGTATACTGTGAATCACAAATTTTCGTGGGGATAAAATTTCGTTGATTCGTCATCAAAAAAAGTTTCGTTGGCATTTAATTTCGTTGTTTTGAGAGTAACCCTATTCAATATATACTCATATTAAATTTCGTGTGGAATTTAATTTCGGTGATAATTGTTAACAACGAAATAAACGAAATTTAACCCCCACAAATATTTCTGCAATATTATTATTTGGTTATTAATTTATCAAGAATAGAAATACTGCACATCGTTCATTAGAAACAGTTTTTTATTATGATCTTTTGTTATTTAAACTATTTATATGTTTTTATGAACTTCAAGTCATTTACATATTTATTATGAAGCTTATTTTTTTTCAAGGACATGCAATTACGTTTAATAAGTAATAATACAAATCAACAAAATAAACACAATAATCTTTAGCCGAAGGCTGGAGTGAGCTTTTTTTTTATCTAAATTTGTCCGGCGTCTGTCGTTGTCGTTGTCATCGTAGTCCTTGTAAACTTTTTCAAATTTTCATCTTCTTCTCAAGAACAACTGGGCCAATTTCAACCAAACTTTTTGGGTGAAGGTGATTAAAGTTTGTTCAAATGAAAGACCATGCCCTCTTCCAAGGGGAGATAATTATGAATTAGTGAAAAATTAATAACATTTATTTAAAAATCTTCTTCTCAAGAACCACTGAGCCAGGAAAGATGAAACTCATGTGAAATCATCCTCAGGTAGTGTAGATTCCAATTTGTTCAAATCATGACCCCGGGGGCTAGGGTGGGCCCAAAATGACTGACCAAAGTTTTAAATAGGGATATATATATGAGAAACTTTTAAAATCTACTTTTCAAGTACTTCAAAGTCATGGTTAATGATATTTATTTGGAAGCATCTTCAGGTAGTGTAGATTCTAGTTTGTTCAAGTCATGACCCCCTGGGGGTTAAATTTCAAGCCCACCCCACCCCATCCCAACTTCGGTGAATTTTCAGTTCTGTTCTGATATGTGCTTTTTCCTAACCGATGTGCTCAGGTGAGCGCTGTGGCCCCTGGACCTCTTGTTTTAAATAAATAAGATGATCTCCTTAAGGATACACCAAATGCTTTTTTTTTCAAGATTTTTTATTTTAATTTTAAGATTTTTGGCTGAGAAAGAGATGTTAATCACTAGTTTATAATGCATGAAAAACTTTTGCTGATTATCTAATCGAACCTCCCATTCTTATGAATATGCATAGGAATATGAATAAGTGACAGGTATCCAAAGCTGAATCTCCAAGGTGTCATAAATTTCTAGCTTTGGCAAAATTGGTTGTGTAATCATGTGTTTTTGTCCTCTACCGTAAAGTAAGATCAGACATTTGGTGGTATTATTTCAAAGGATTCAGCTTCTTTATTTATTGACCAATTTCTCTGAAAACTGGCTACATTGCACCTCAAATGTGTGTTCATTTTTTCTGATATCATGTTTAGTTCTTGAACTATTGGGGAAAATCATAAATGGGGTAATAAATTGAACATTGAAGGCCAAATGGATGTAACTTTTGAATTTGAAGATTTATAAAAAAAAAATAATCTGAGATATTTCTAAAGATTTTAAGGTTTTTACGTTCAATCTTTTATCTACCTTAAGGCAAAGTTATGACTTTTAGAGCTGGAATACAAAACAGTTGATTCATAAAATATAAATGTAATATTTACATTTAGATATGAATAAATTTTTAATTAGATGAAATGCAAGTTTATATTAGAATCATTTAATAGTAAATTTCACAAGGTTTTAGATAATATATATTTTTAATATGTTGTCTTTGATAATGAACAAATACAAGCAAAATAATTTTGCCTATTGGAAACCTTTGGTGTATCCTTAAATAAGACAACAAGATATGTTCCAACAAGTATAAAGATATTTGATGGCGTGTTTATGTCCTACTTTTTTGAAAATTCGAATGGAGGCCTTGATAGGTTTTTATTGTTTACCTAACTTCAATGCAAACGATTCTAATAATAAATTTCCAGAATCTAAAGAAATTGTAAACTTTCTGTGACGTTCAAAATTCAACCCTCCTGAAACCATCCTTATTATTTTATACAAAACTTTTCGCTTCAAATTCCATTCTTGTGCAACTTTGAATAAAACATTTAAAAATTTCGCGGTCAAACTTATTCATATAATTCATTACCAGATGGACCAAGTCATTATTTTCAAAATTTTAGGCAAAAGTTTATTTGTATCATTTGTTCTTAATCAACGTATTAAATTATTTTCCTCCAGTAATAAATCCAATATGAAAGATGAAAGAATGTATAGCATGCTTCAAAATCATTTTGCCTTTGCCCATCGCTTTAACTGAAATTGAGGGATATTAATTTTGGGCCGGTCTGTCCATGCATCCATCTGTATTTCTGTCTCTCTGTAACACTTTCGTTTCCGGTAATGCTCCACTTACCATTAAACTGTCCAAAAAATTGCAAATAAATTATAAAAACCACAAATGGATTTGACATAAAAGGGGAACACTGTTGATTTTGAGGTCAAAATTTCTAAGGCAAAGGTCATGTTATTCATAATTATGTTCCCCAAACGAAGTTGGGGAACATATTGTTTTTACTCTGTTTCTTATTATTATTATTAAGGTCTTCCGTCTCCAACGGAAGACCTTATTGTTTTCGTTCGGTTTCTTTTTCCCTATTATTATTATTTTTTTTTCTTACCGATTTTGTGCACGCGATTTCTCGGAAACGGCTCGCCCGATTTTCACAAAACTTTCAGATCTGATAGATATTCATCTGAACCTTGTCGGAAATTTTCGACGTTGATGACGTCACTTCCGGCCGTGAGATATGGACGATTTTCTGATTTTTAGAGGGTCGGCTTGTCCTGAGATCTCCTCCTAAACGACTGAAGATATCGACTTGAGATTTTCAGTGAAGTTAGAGGAAGGATAGGAGATGTGACATTTTGCATATAGAGCTTTCCAGGTGAAAAGGCATCGACGCTCGCCTGGGCTCGAAAAATTGGCTCATACGCATCTCGCAAAAATTGATACGTTTTCGTTTATATCTTTTTACCTGTGAATATTTTGTTAAGACATATACAATAAAAATGTGCAATATAGTTAGGCCTTTCATTTGATATCAAGAACATCTTCAAATTAGGGACATAGAGGGGCCAAAAGTCTCTCGTCTTAAACTCTTTAATGATCAATATTTTGTGATACATTACTGAAGCAAAGATATTCAACTTAACAATTTGCAACAAAATATACTAAAAATTTGATCATATGATACGTTATAAAGGGTCACAGGGGGCTAGAATGTTATATCTTTGACGCTTTATATCTCGAGAAGCGTGAATATTTTGATAAGCAATATTGAACAAAAGATGGTCAAAATAATGTTCCTAACAATATGCATACTTTTAATTTGTTCATTGTTTCCGTCAACACTTCCGGTGTAAACCGGAAGTACATGAAATTTAAATACATGTACATGTATAGCGATTTTTTTTATTTTCTAATGAATGTAATTGTTCATTATAGAGATTTAAAGAATGCGTAGCATCTTAATATTTTCACCGGAAGTACGGTTCGTTCAAACCGGAAGTTGTCTAAAAATGAGTATTTTCCATCGAAACTTTCAGGGATGATTACTGCTTGCTTGATGTAGAGTTGAAAGTAGTTTTGAGCACATACGGTCGCACCGGAAGTGAGGAAGTAGAACCGGAAGTTGATTGGAATTGATAGATCCTACATTTTATTTGTGTTTCTAAACATATTCTGAAGAATTCTTGTGCCTTTCTGACATTTTTTATCCTATCAGTGGAATTATCCCAACACAGGTCTTATTCCATCAGATATCGGACGGAAGACCTACTCGTTGCTTGCAACGAGATCGCATCTAGTTAAGGTCTTCCGTCTTCACGGAAGACCTTCTAGTGATTCTACTGTTTCTTATTATTATTATTATTATTATTATTTTTTTCCCCAAAATTTTGTGCACGCGATTTCTCGAAAAGTATTCAGTAGTTTTCTGTGAAAATTTCAGGAATTATGCGTCATTATATGAAGTTGTGGCATGGATAGGAATATTTGGAATACTCACCTTTGGTTCCAAGTTATTGACACTTTTCTGATTTTAAAATGCAATTTTGTCCCCCCTTTTTTTCGAAAATGGTTTAAGATATTAACTGGAGACTTGTAAGAGATTATAGATGATGACTTTTAAATGTGACGAATCACCTTTTCGTGTGTCGTCGGTACTTCCGGTTGCTACCGGAAGCGAAATTAAAAAGTCCGTATTTTCTAACTTTTTTGTTTTTCAATATTTTTCATTGATATTTAGAATTTTAATAGAGACCCTTCTTATAATGCTTACTATATAATTTGTTTGAATATTGATAAATCCAAACTCTAGAAATGAACATTCAAAAATCTGAAGTGGGTCCAAAATGGCGACTGTCTCTGTCAACTCCGACATTTCGCAATAGGGGTTTACGGAGGCAGCAGAGCGTTTGCTTCAACGAAAGTAAAATAAGGATAAAAGGAGTGTAAAGGAATACTAGGATTGTCACGTCGTTGTTACGTTGCAAACGTGTGTCAAACTATGTTTTAATCCATGGTGCTCTCAAACGTCTTCTATATTTGGTTTTGGCTGGTTCTCAAAGTAGAAAAAGAAAAGACTAAATGTGCAAATGAAATACGATACCTAGTATCTTTTACTTTTTGCGGAATAACAGATTTTTAACCATAGTTATAAGTAATAGTTAATAAGAAACATATATAGTAAGTATTAAACGTAACCACCGTTTTCCTAATGCACACTTGAATTAAACAAATAGAAAAGACAGAAATAAGAAAACAATATCTAAAAAGATAATTAAATGGAGTTTATATCATCATTATTGTCTCAATGATCTCATTCAAGTTATTAAACATA